CAAACAAACAAACAAACAAACAAACAAACAAACAAACAAACAAACAAACAAACAAACAAACAAACAAACAAACAAACAAACAAACAAACAAGACATTGTTATTGTTTACTAACATTTCATACTTATTGCATTTGAAGAAGACAGCATGGTGGCTCAGTAGAGCTGATGCCTCTCAGCAAGAAGGTTGCCAGTTCAAATCCCGGCACCGGGGGCCTTTCTGGGTAGAGTTTGCAAGTTCTCTCCATGCATGTGTGGGTTCTCTCCGAGTACTCTGGCTTCCTCCCACAGACCAAAAACATGACTGTTAGGTTAATTGATAGCTCTAAATTGTCCCTAGCTGTGAGTGAGAGGGTGAATGGTTTGTTTGTCTCTATGTGTGGCCCTGTGATGGACTTACGACCTGTCCAGGGTGTACCCCACCCTTCGCGCTGTGACTGATGGATATGGGCACCAGTGACCCAAGGAGTAAGCGTGTACAGAAAATGGATGGATGGATTGATGGATGGATGAATTTGAAGAGTCAGTAAAGATTTTGCTGTAGATGAAGAACTGAAGATCACAAACACAATCAGTTATTGCTGTGTCTGTCAGGCTTGGGGTTACAGGTTGGCAGACGGTAAGACTATGACATCACTGTTTTCAAAATATTGTCATGACAGTTTAACAATACTATTCCAAGGTGGAAAGGATAAAACCTGTCTGTGTATTCATGTGTAGGGCATTAGTTGTGCTCACCAGTCTAAACTGGGGTTGTTTAGAGAGCTGTTTGCAACAGACACTTCTCAAATTCTGAATATTTGTTTTGCACAAAGTCATTGCCTCATAAATTGTTTTCTATTTTTTTGCCTCTTTTATGAAGAGGCCAACAGGCTCCTGGTTTATTTAGGACCACATCAGCATTTCAGACTGCAGGTCACCTGGTCAACATGTTGTCCTCACCTGCGCTGTCAGAGAACAGGCTGGGAAAGCTGAAAAGTACTTACACAATGTCCCAACGGTTATCAGCAAAAAGTGATGCTTTGAATTTCCTTTCTACACAAATTAATACGAAATTAACCAAAGTTTGACAGTATTATTAACCCAATGTATGTGAAGTAATGACACACATGTTCAGACATCGCTCTGTCTGTGGAGGTCATTCCTGGAGTGACTGATGTGACCTCGGCACCTTTGGGGTTAGGTTAAATTCAGGGTGTGACCCCTGTAGCGTCTCTCAGGATGCTCTTCCTTGTACTTTGGGCTTTATTAGAACATAACTCTCCTTGTAAAAAGGAGCACACACGCAAACACTATAAATGGCATTTTATCATGGCTTTCAGGTACATTTTTGATCTTTTTTCCTCAATGTGAAAAGCAGCCACACACCTGGCTGACAGAAGCCTGGGATGGGTCTGAATGATGATTGCAGACCTCTGAATAATGTGGTCAGGTTACGGTCAAGCATGTCATGATCTGGCCTGTGGTGTTTCAGATACACTGAAGACTCCCTGTGTATAACATGAAACCATTAGTCTGAACAATCCAGTTTATTCAGTACCTCTTATGTTTACTCCTTTTAGTAATGATAAACACAAGCTAAAGCAAAGCTGCTTTCAAAGTTGGAATAAGAGCAGGAAGATGTTTTACAAGACGATCACTATCTGTTYGCGCACATTTCCACGAGACATAATTTATGGCTTCAGGCATTATCTTACCACAGCAAATGTTGGAAGTGTGTCTGAGCGTTCCCACTTTTATAAACTKTTCTTTGTGTCAGGTTGCTCAGATGTGTGCCAACGTGCTAACATGCTGAACTTCTATACCTTTAATGAAGCAAGAGCTTTACAATTAGCTTTTCTTATTGCCCACATTCACAYACTGGTGGATTCACACAAAGGTGCTCAGTGGCCCATGGGGAGGAAATTATCTTGTGGAGTGATTGATGACAGCAGTCCTTCTGATGACACTTGGAGCAGTTTTGTTGAAGTGAGGTTTTTAGGTCAGCTGGTGCAGAATGTGGTATCTGGAGGCAGATTTTCCACAGCTGACACTGCACCGGTGACATTAACACAAKTCCTGWTTAACCCTTCTGTCTCTGGAGAAATCACAGCCTCAGTGTAAATGACATGTACCCTCTGCTCTGTTCTGTTTTAGTGGGTCCATGCTCAGCAGACAAATATTCTTGTAGCAACGTGGAGGTTGTTGAGAAACGACGGCAAACCAAACAATGTCCTGCAACAATGTAGAGATTAAACATTAGATACTGTAGCGTTAACAGTGTTTTATGCAACACCTTCATTGCTTTGGGCACAACTGATTTAATGAAATGCATGCTGACAGAAGTGAAAATAAACAGTTCACTWTACTGCAGCTGGCTCTACTTCTAATGTGCAAGGCAGCCATATTGGAATTTCCAGTCAAAGATAGTGAGAAACCTCAGATATTCTATGTCAGAATTCCAAGTTTGTGGGACATTTCAGTTGGTTTTCCCCATTTTGAAACTTTCAASTACAAATGAAATGCATCATGAGTCTGGCTATGTTTGTGTTAAAAATGTTACGAAAAAAAAACCCACTTACTTTTTACAAGCATGGTGCTTTWTGTCGGGGAAGAAATTCTGTAAATAGTATAACTAAAGGCTTTATGTGCTTCTGTTTTGGTCACAGAACCAATGGTGCATCCTGATGTTGCTTAAGCTACATGTGCAGTTATTTGGTTTTAATGAGGTAATGAAAACTGTTAAAAAAATCCCAACTAACACACTAATATAGTGTTACCATTTGTGAATGAAGAACTAAATATATATTTTAACTAATGTCCTGTTAATCATCAGCTTTTATTCATTCAGA